TTTTTTTAATATGATTTAAATTGTATAATAATTATGCAATATTAATAATTTTTTAATAATTTAATGTATAATATTTTAATTCATGACACTTCACAATTGAATATTTTGAGCATGACTTTAAACTAAAATTTTGGGACATAATATTTGATTATTTATAAGATTTTTAATTTCAAATAGCAATAATATTTAACTTTTTTTCTTTTTGTTGAGAATTTCATATAAGGGCTTATGCGTTAATAATTCAAAACAGTTACAAGTCCTTAGAGGAAATAATAACTTGCTATCGCTCAAAAAGCTTCCCTACCTAATTATAAAACTGAAACAAAATTAAAAGAACCTAGAGAAGGTTGGCAAGAAGCCAAACCCAAAATATGAATAGAGCTAGGAACACTTTTGATCAAAATTTGTCTATCACCCATACACAAGATTTTAAATTCCCAAGAAGAAAGTTTGGATAAAATATTCTGAATAATTTTATCAAGAAGGAAGTTTTTTATCCTACCTTTATACAAAGAAGTTTTGCCAATAATAAAAAAACATTTTTTTTATTGAAACAATATTCAACTTAAAAGTTCAAAAAACATAAATCCTAGAAGGGTTGAGATTGCTAGAAACTCTATTTTTTTTATTATGGTTATTTCCTCAAAATTAAAAGGTTCAAAATTTATCTATATTTGAACTAGTCAGTTCATTAAAAAAAAAAAAAAGACTGGTTCACTGGTTCTACAGTGCAACTGCTGGTTTTAATCGATTTTGGTTGATTCTATGAAGAAGCCATTTTGGGCTGGATCGAATCGTCCAGAAGATTGATTCATGGTTGGACTGATATGACCGGCCGATTTTTAAATCCATAATTGATAAGCTATCTCATGATTCTAAAATAGAGAATGAAAGTGACGCCCCATACTTCTGAGAAACAAGATTCTCTAAAATATGCATTTCTCCATAATCAACGAACAAAGATTTTCAAACTTTTTGAGAGGAGAATCACCTTTGATAACTTGATGATCAATAAAAGAAAAACATTGGGAAAATGTTGGAGAGAGTTCGAGTATGAAGAACTGAAGAAATGTCGAAACCTGTATACAGTGAAAGGAAAAAGCAGAGAACTAACAGTTTGAAGATAAAAGCTGAAACAGAAACCAAAGGAATTTTATTAAGTGCAACAAATATGTTTCTTAGTATTTCCTTACATTGTATAATAGATAGTTTTTTTTTTTTTTTGGGTTAAAACTCACATAGGGATTACATGTTAATTATAAAAAGAAAGATACTAGGTCCTTAAAAGTGATTGAAAACTCAATAAATACTAAGTGAGCTATAACCAAAAAGAAAAATAAAACCAAATCAGCCTAAGATTTCTTGCTAGTTACATTTTTTTTTTCTCATGTAGAACAACCTTCGATTGCTAGTTACATATAGAAAAGGAAATGGAAGGAAAATAGCCAATCCTAAAAAAGGGCTCATATAAGATCATCATTAGAGATTGTAGCACGAGTACAGAGGAATGCGATCGAGCCTGCAAAAGAACCAAACAAAAAAAGAAAAAGAATAAACCAAATGGAAAGGATATGCAAGAGAGCATCAACAGGTGCAAAATCCCACAACTGCAAAAGGAAAAATAATTGGATCGTCAAACACGAACACCATCAACAGATAAACAACAACAAAGCCAACTAAAACCAAAGACAAGATCCTTTATTCGAACCTACAGTAAAAAATAAGACCCCAAAGAAAACCAAATAAACAAAGCATGAAGAGAGAAAAAAAAAACCACCAAAAAGAACAACAAAACCAGCAAAACCACCCAACCAGCAACCAACCCCACACAAACGACATGCAGAAGCATCCAAATACAACAACAATCTACTAAACTAAACCTAAGAACCAAAAGCAAACAACAAAGTAACCAACCGAAAAAGGAAGCTAGCAATAGAAAACCCTAAGTCAAAACCATTCACAGCACCATAGGAGATAGGGAACCCATATCAAAGAGCTCAAATACCAGAACCAAATCAAAATCAGCAACACAAAAGTCAAGCAACAACGAGAAAAAACTCAAACACCAGAAGAACCCAACACCAATAGATCTAATCATTAAAAGTGGGATTAGAGAAAACTTATTTCTACCTTCAGAATGCTTGAAATACTAGACCAAATTTTTATTTTTATTTTCTTATTTTTTGCCAACAACATTCGAAAAATCATCATTACTGACTTGCACCACATTCAAATCATAATCCTCCTTAGAGCCATTACCAAGACCAACGTTACCCTCCCCAAAATCCTAGTTAACAAACGAATTACATGGAGTTAACCAATCAGAATGATCAACAAGATTCTCATTAGAATGCAAAACTAATTGTTGCTTTCTCATACCAAAGTTTAATAACACTTTATCAAAAATAGGAGAGCAAATTATGTTAATTATACGCACTCTATTAAAAACATCTATACCATCAAGGACAACCGCAGGAACAGAAATACCATATGTTTGATGTTCAGTCAAATCAACATTGACTCTAGAAGCAACATTAAGATGTTATCATTGACATGTTGATTCAAAGTATCTTTACTTAGATAAAAAGTTTGAAGATTTTCAAAAGAACCAACAACTAGAGAAAAAATAAGATTAACAGCCGAAGTATTAAAAGTATCAACCATTTCTTCAACAACAATATAATAAATAACATGAGGAACTAAATTATTGGTTTCTTTGTCAACAATAATCATAGACTTAGGAATATTCATAGAAACCTTTTCTAGATGAGGATGAAGGGTACTGCATTCATTTTTAAAGTGTCCTAGAGATTTGCAATGATCACAATAAGGAGGGAAATCCTCCATCTCAACATGTTGAATATACACAAATTTTTCAGGCCCAAGCCACAAATTATTGGGATAACATTTAGTGATATCTAATTCAACCATAATATTAGCAACTGAGGTGCACGAGCCAATCAACATAGCATTATCAATTTTAAGGAGGCGACCAAATAAAGATCTCAAACAGTGAAGGATATGGGGAGAAAATAGATGCGACCGAAAGTTAGGAAACAAAACTCAAATAGGGATGATGGGGGATTCAACATCAATGTCATAAAAAGGAGATAACTTGATCAATTTCATAAAGCAATTATTAACAAAATAAGAAAGATGGCCAAAAACTCTACTATAATCTATGTCATTTATGAGTTTAATCAACACATGTCTTGGGTCCATAGGATAACCAAAAAATCACCTATAAGCTTGTGATTAAGGAAAAAAATTATGAATAGATCAGTTGTGAGCTGTCCTGTGACCGAGGAATTTACCAATCAAAGCAAATTTGAAAGAGGCTACAATAGTAAGAATTTCATCTTTTGAAATCCACACTAACGATAACCCATGATGGGTTGTAGTTTTGAGGTTAGGAAAAATGTCCGAAGGGGGAGCCCCAAAAAGTGCACCCAAAAAGGATCGAGAGTTCTTTTGACCAATTATTAAATCAGGACCATTCAACTGATTAACTGCCATTTAAACTCTAAGAATGATCAAAAGCAAAAAAAAAAAAATCAGAAGAAAAGAAAGAAAAACATTTGAGAAAAATGTTAAGGACCGAGAAGGAGAGAAAAGAAACCGATAAGGAAGGAGAGAGCTACCCTGAAAGCAGAGCAAGCATCGAGGGTCACGAATGGACACTGAAGAGGGCAGCTAGGGCGAAAACCCTAGCATAGCACTTCAATATTTTTTTTAGAGAATGATATATATATATAGTAAGGGAGAAAACTATATTAAGTGTACATTTCTATCATAGCAAAAGGGTTATAATAATATCTCAATGTTTTTTTAACATTGTAAATTTAGGATTATAATAAAAAAAAAAAGATGATTTCCCTTTTTTTTGTGGGGGAAACCCACATAGGGGCCTACATGTTAATATAAGGGCAAATTTACACAATCCTTAAGGGAAACTCAATCCCACTACTGCTCAAAGAGCTACATTCCAAAAAGAAAACAAAAAACCTAGGGGTTCGAGTTTCCCAACTAAAACACAGTACAAAGCAACCTAATAACATTCTACGAAGCTTAAGACTAAGAAAAAAAAATGGGAGAGCACAAAAAAAAATACCAAAAAGCTCCCAGCAACAAGAATCCAAAATCAAAATCAACTTGACGTCCATGTCCTGCAACCACCAAAAAGAGACACAGAACAGAAAATAGCACAAAAATATTAAAGCAATGAAATTGAAAGGAAATACTATTAAAACTAAAAGGATATATCTGGAACAAGAGCTTCTGGTAACACTCCAACTCTCCCAGCAACCCGTCCAGAATTGAAGAGGAGACATGTGCCTGCAGTCAGTCCAAAACACAAAGAAACAAAGCATAACAACAACCCCACCATCCCTGCAACACCCACCCCACCAATAATAAGCAAATCTCCCAGAAACAATCAAACCCGAGCAACAACAACGAAGAG